TTTAAGAAAATATTCTAAAATGTGTGGTCAGTGGCACAGCAATGGAACAACTTTCATGAGCTGTTTGGACAGATTTATTTCATTTTTTTTATGATCCACAACCATTTAAAGAGTGTGCAAAATGTGCGCAATAGTTGCTTTTCTTTGTTTTGTTTTTTAGTTATTAAATACACTTGGCACACTATTTCAAAATCTTCCACAACTTACTGCTCATTCATGACTTTATAAAACAGCACTGCAAATGTCATGAATGTCAGAGTGGTAACTTACGTAGCACGTTGACAAACGCATTGGCCAATAAGTAGCCAAACTGATTAGAAGCGTTGCACTGGTAGACGCCGGTGTTGGCGGCGCTCACGGAACGGAAGGTTAGTGTATCTCCTGACATCTGTCTGTTTGGCTGCGGATCAGCAGCTGGAAACAACACATGAGAAGGGAAAATATAGTCAGAATTAACATTATTTGGATTATTTTTTACAGCTCAGACACATAATCCCCCCAAAACTTACTTTCAATTGGTTCCCCATTGATAAACCAGCTGATTGTGGGACGAGGCGCCCCATCAGAACGACACACCAGCCGTCCGTTTTCCTCGGGGGCCAAGATCAAATCAATGGGCTTCTCCAACCAGAATGGAGCCGCTGTCAAATACAGAGAATGTTAGTTGTTTGAAAGTCATTTAGGAAAACTGCTCACTGTATATTTCAGAAGGCCTCACCTTTGACCCTGACCGTTATCGTGTGCTCGATGTAGCCCAACCTGTTGGTAGCAGCGCAGGTGTATTCACCCACATCGTCAAAAGACGCCTTTGGGATTTGAATCATCTTGTTGAAGTTCTTTACTTTCATGCGTGACGTCACTGCGAGCTCGTCTCCATCCTTGGTCCAGGTAATGTGGGGACTTGGCCTTGATGATGATAAACAAGGCTTTACACGGGATAATTTTCATGAAATCAAAGTGAAAACAAACAAATACTTGTGCAGAATGTTACCAAGACCACTGAATAAACTGTACAAAAGACCTTTTGTTTTATTTCCATACTCACATCCCTGCAGCAATGCACTCCAGGAGCAGCTCCTCCCCTAGCAAGACCAGTATGGAGCTTGATGAACCTGTTGGAGACAACCAGGTGGGGGCAGCCTCAGCCACCGTACGAGCTGCAGGGGAACCAGAAGTCACCAGTCAGGAATACTTACTGATCATTTCTGACCATGAAGCAACAGCAGACCAACGTGCTTATTAAGTCAGAAAATAAGGAAGGACAGCAAGTTTACTTGGACCAAAACAATGATCAGACATTTTAAAGTTCAGCCCAAAAAGAAATAAAATACTGCAGATGGTCAGTGGGGCGTTCACTTTTCTTTTAAGGAAAAAGACATTTTAAGTCATCTGTTTGGTTTGAAAAAGTCAGATTACTGAGAATGAAGAGTAGATTATGTTAGTTTATGTGTGTGTGTGTGTGTGTGTATATATATATATATANTACTTACCTCCAGCCAAAAGTGACGTGTTTTTTGTTTTTTAACCAGTTGGTTGTGACAGGAGTAGTGGCATCTGCTTTAACACCACACTCTAACCGCACATCAGTTCCACGCATGACTTTCATACTCTGTGGTCTTGTGACAATTGCTATGGGTTCTGAGAAGGATAGATGACAAAAGACCTGCAATAATCCACCTTAAAATGTTTTTTTTTTTTTTTCCTTGCAAAATGTTATCAATGATTTAAAGATTTTCTGTTTGCATGTCCAACACCCTCACCTTTGACCTCTATCCGGACTTGATTCTCATCTCTTCCTGCGATGTTGCTGATGATGCACAGGTAGGTTCCCTGGTCCTCCAGCCGTATACGTTTGATCTCCAGAGTCCCATTGCTGTGGGTCTTAAAACGATTTCCTTCAAGATTTCCTTGTCCATACTTGGACCTATGTGAGTAAACCCACAAACATATACAGACACATACACTGTCAACTGCTTTTTGAACTCATCATTTACATTTAACCATCAAACACTGTGTTCTTACCATCTCAGTTCCGGCACTGGAGATCCAAAATAGCGGCAGTCTAAAAAGGCTCGACTCCCTTCTATCACCTTCGAGAGTTCATTCCTTGGTCCGATAATACGTGGGGTTGCATCTAGAGGAAAAAAATGACAACTGCAACATCATTATTATATTATATTTCATATGCTTTTGCTGTACCCTCTATTGAAGCAAAACAAAGAGTTTTAGCCCAAACAGTG